AAAAAAAACTGATTATATTTCTCAACTCATCCCATCAATAGAGATTAGTCCAAAGAAGAAATTGAAATGGGGATAGTCATACTTATCCCTATTATAGAGCAGTGAGAACATTTGGGAGAGATAATTCATGCAAAATGTTTAGCACCATGCCTGACGTAGAAAAAGAGCCACTCAAACGGCAGTTATCTCACCATTTCTTGCCCATCATTCCAGTTTACTGCACCCAGAAAGCAACTTCCTGGCTTTCTCAGCTGTCCCAGAGTGGGCCCTTCTAGTTGGTTCTCTACAGCTTCCTCCTTCCCATAGTCACAGCGAGAACATGGCTCAGGTCATTTAGCTAATGGTCCAYGGGGTCATTCTCTGGGTTGAAGGCCCAACTACCTTTGCCAAACAAATTCTTGTTTCTGAATGTTCTTTGGAATACTAATGGCCCTAAGACACACACACCAGATGCTGGGATGGATCTGATCCATTGCTCTCTGGAAGACTTTGCCAAACTCTGCTGACACACCAGCCCTTACCTCCATTAATACTAGCCCCAGGTCTTATGTGCCTTGTTTGAACCTGCCTTAGTTCTCTGAGTCTTGCCTCCAGAACAGATGGTTTCATCCTGGTTGTAGAGAGGCACTCCCTAGAATCTACCTACCAATTCTAAACCCTTTACCATTCAGCATTCAGGGTTCCCTGTCTGTTGTGGTCAAGGCCAGAATGCTCAGCTCACCTCCAAGACTTTCTAGCACCTGACCTCAACTTCTTCCATGAACTTGTGCACAACCTGTGCTTGATTTGTACTTTAGTGGCTACTCTTTACAAGAACACTTACACACCTTGGTTTTCTCCAAGTTAATAAATATATACTTGTTGGGGTTTTGTTTGTTTGTCTTGGTTCGAGGGATTGAACCCAGAGACACTTAACCATGGAGCCACATCTTTTCATTTTTTATTTTGAGACAGGGTCCCACTAAGTTGCTTAGGGCCTCACTAAGCTGCTGAGGCTAGTCTCAAACTTGACAATCCTTTTGCCTCAGCTTCCCAAGTTGCTGGGATTACAGGTGTGCACCACTGTGCCTGGCAAACTTGATTTTTAGRAAGGTTCTTTCCCTCTCTTTAAAGTCTATTAGACATTGCGGATGTTTCCAGGGATCAGGTAGATACTAAGAATTGATGAAAGAGCCCCCATTTAATCCAAGAGGATGATTTAAAGACTTTGAAGAACTGGGGAGTAGTTGTCTTTACTCTAAATTTTGCATTCAAATGCACAAGGCTTAACAATCAAGTGACAGCCAAACAGGTCTGGGTCCTGCAGAAGATGATAGTCTTCAAATTCTTTGATAATGCAGCCCAATTCCAAATGAAATTAAAACAGAATTTCATTATAAAAGAGGGGAATGGAGGTAGACGGAGGTTGGATAATACAGCACAAAAACCCAGTTTCTACTGCTATATACAGTAGGGTGACTACAATTCAAAATAACCTATTACATATTCCTTGTAAAACTTAAAATGGAACCACCATTTGACCCAGCTATTCAACTCCTCAGTTTATACCCAAAGGACTTAAAAATAGCATACTACAGTGACACAGCCACATCAATGTTTATAGCAGCTCAATTCATAATAGCTAAACTGTGGAACCAACCTAGATGCCCTTCAGTAGATGAATGGATAAAGAAACTGTGGTATATATACAAATAGAATATTACTCAGCATTAAAAGAGAATAAAATCATGGCATTTGCAGGTAAATGGATAGAGTTGGAGAATATGCTAAATAAAGTAAGCCAGTCCCAAAAAACCAAATGCCAAATGTTTTCTCTGATATGTGGATGATGGTCTATAATGGGGGTGGGGTGGGYGAGCATGGGAGGAAGGATAGGGCAAAGAGGAGGGAGGGGAAGGGAGGGGGCAGGGGAATAGGAAAGATGGTGGAATAAGATGGATATCTTACCCTAAGTACATGTATGAAGACACGAATAGTGTGACTCTACTTTGTGCGCAACCAAAGAAATGAAAACTTGTGTTCTATATGTGTCCTATGAATTGAAATGCATTCTGCTCTCATGTATAACAAATTAGAATAAATAAATAATTTTTTTAAAAAAATGACCTATTACATATTTTATGAAGAAGTAGAGAGAGGAGCTTGAAGCTTCCAAACATAAAGAAACAATAAGGAGGGAAAACCCTTAATAAACCCTCTAGCTTTGCTTGCTTTTAGTTACTTACTTTTAGTTGACTTTAAAAACCATGAAGTTTAGAGTCACTCAGCTGAAAAATATGTGATTCTCTCCTACTAGCTTTGCTGTAGGTAGCACCCGTGATGTGTGGGTTAGGATGATAACAGTTGCCTAGGTGACTCTTCAAGGACTTTAAGGCTGCTTTTGTCAAAAGCACTGGCTCTTCACTTGGGCCTGCAGATATTTGATGAGTTCTGTTTTGATGTCAGGAGGCTGAAAAGTCCACCTCAGATCATGCTATTGGCACTGTTTTCTAATGGCACCCAAGGAAGGGCCATGAAGCTTGATGACCTCACCTACAGTCATCCTTCCCCAGGCCTTAAATCACCCTACCTCTTTATCCTGTAAATAGCCTCAAGCCCTCCGCTCAGAGAGGTGGATTTGATAGACGGGTCTCCTGGTCTTGCTCAGCCACCTTGCCAATGAACTCTTTCTCTTCTGCAAAAGTTCTTGTAGTATTACCATATGCAGGGAAAAACGGGCCTGATACCATAACAAGAGTTGGAGATGCTAATCACCCTGACTTAATCAGTACACATTGTATGCAGGTATTGAAATATCAAATTGTACCCTAAAATTCAGTATAACTAAAAATTAAAATTAAAAAATAATTTATGAAGGAGTCATTTATTGATATAAATATATTTTATGTTGTTGAAATATTATTTCATCTTAAAATTTTTACTGTTTACAAATGAATATTTCTATATGTGTAAAATATACTTACACATATAATATATATGGGGTATAATATATATGGGGGTATAGCTTGGTGTAAGAGCACATACTTAGTATGTGCAAGACCCTGGGTTGGCTCTACACTACAAAAAAGTACACAGACAACACACACACACATGCACACACACAAACACACACACTCCTTATATAAYATGTTTCTTAAACATTTTCCATAGGTTTTTAAACCCAGTTTTTGAGAAGAATAAGTATAGATGGTCAAAAAACTTAAAACTGAAACTGGAGCTTGGATAACAATTACAGTCTTGAAACAGCCTTTGCTGTCAATTCATTGGATGTTACTGAGAAAATACCAACTTACAAGTATTTAAATAGTCACTATTTATACTCAGCTCACCTCCAAATGCAGAATGTTTTKCAATTTGATAGAATAAAGGAAAAGCTGTATTACAAAACTGAGTTAACCTGAGAGCACAAAGGTTACAGACTGATTGACCACCCATATTTTATATTCTTTTCTCCCTCAGAAATAAAATCTTGCATTTTAGCAGGATATGCAACAGAATTTTTTAAATGCATTTCCCAGTCTCCTTTGCAGTTAAGTGTTACCATTTCACTAAGGGCTGGTCAAAAGAATATAAGCCATAGTGTTGTGTGCAATTTCTGGGACWCATCCAGCTGACAGAATACAGTTGAGGTAGTTGGACTTTGAGCAGCARCCATTTTGTAATGTGAGGCTTAAATCCCATGTTGAAGGTGACGGAGCAACAAAATAGAATGAGTCTATATCTCCTATGATGACAGAACCACAATCTCAGCCTTTGATTACTTGGACTCAAATTTTGTTTATGTAGAAGAATACAAATTTCTATATGGTTTAAGACATTGCTACTTTGTTTTCTTTCTTTTTTGTGTGTGTGTTCTTTTTTTTTTTTTTTTTTTTTTTTTTTAGTGGTGGGTTGGGGAACTGAGGATTGAACCCAGGGACACCCTGTCACTRAGCTACATTCCCAGCACCTTTCCCCTTTTATATTATCTTGACACGGGGTCTCATTAAATTTTCCAGGCTGGCTTCTAACTTGCCATCCTCCTGCCTCAGCCTCCAGAGTCCACACCCTGTGCTACTTTGTTTTCTGTCACAGCGGACTGACTCAGAAAAAGCTACATTGATGCTGGGCCTTGTGGYACATACCTATAATCCTCAGGACCCTGAGGCAGGGGGGGACTTGCAAGTCTGAAGCCAGCCTCAGCAACTTAGTGAGGCCCTAAGCAACTTAGTGAGGTCCTGTCTCAACATGAAAAAGGTGCTTAATAATAAAGTGCCCCTGGATTCAATCCCAGTAGAAAAAAAAAGATGGGAAAAAAAAAATGCTAAATTGATGTTGGCTTTGAGTATGATAAAAYTTGGTATGTAACAGTTATTTTTAACCAAAGAAAAAGTCTGTGAATTTATTAATGGCATGCACCTGGGAACCATGTACATAAGACCCTGAAATGAGCACCAGATGGTTGGAGCTTAATTTGAATTGAGCTACTGGGAAAATAGGGGTGTGGCATTCTGGAGGGAGGTGGCCATGGGCTGTGGAGCTGAGGGGAGGAATAGGATGGTGAAGGGTAGTCATGTTATGCAGGTAAAGTCAAGTAGCAGCCCGCAGAAAGGGTGAGTGGCAGGCTGTGCCAGAGTGTCTCTGGGAGGGTCGCTTAACTTCCTTCTCTGTGATATGAGTTGATTTTCTCTGGTTGATGAGATTCAGGAAGGGACTTCACAAGAAGAAGACACGTGTTCATCTGCGATTTCTGAGTCCAAGGATGTGTTGTTGTTGCTGTTTTATAGCTGACATTATTAGCACTGGGTGACCAGCTGCAAAAACAACAATCACAGAAACAAAGTCACAGAAAATTTTGCATGTGCCTGTCAGTGTGTAATAACAATCTGCCTTAAAGAGAGCTTAATCTCCCAGGCATGGTGGTGGCACATGCCTGTAATTCCAGCAGCTTAGGAGGCTGAGACAGGAGGATACTGAGTTCAAAGCCAGCCTCAGCAACAGAGTGAGGCACTAAGAAACTCAGCAAGACCCTGTCTCTAAATAAAATATTTTAAAAAGGGCTGGGGATGTGGCTCTGTGGTTAAGTGCTCCTGGGTTCAATCCCCAGTACCATAAAAAAAA